CAGATTTAAAGAACTGACCTAGCTTCAGGAAACTAGGTAAGAGATAAGAGTGTGCCATGTGGGAGGCTGGAGTCCAAAAGAGTCCTTTTGGGCTCTTGGGAAATAGAAATACAAGTATATAAATGATGGTAAGACAAGTTTTCTGACTGAAAAATATATTTTAATTAGTCTCTATTCTCTGTGCTACCGTGTCCTAAGGAGAAGAACCTGTTCTTTTCCTGGGTGGTGAGGGGGAATATCCTAAGACCACAAAGCCTTTGAGAAATTGAAACCAAATTTTTGGGCTCTGGTAGCGTAGTGGTTATGAATCGGGCTGCGAACCTTAAGGTCAGCGGTTTGAAACTACCAGCCGCTCCGCGGGAGAAAGATGAGGTTTTCTACTCCCGTAAAGATTTACACCCTTGGAAACCCTGTACAGGGTCGCTATGGGTCGGAACCGACTCAAAGGCACTTAACAACAACAAGGTTGAGGTAGGAAACTGACCAGGAGAGAATTAACAGAGCTAAGGCCTAGCCACCACGGAGAGATAGTGTTTCTCTCCAGAGGCCTTAGGAAGTAGGCACTTTCCCTGAGATTCATTTACAAAAGTTTTGCATAAAGCACTATCCTAGGGAAGGGATAGCTGATGTATTTACTTCACTTTAAGGAATCCAGCAGCATGTTTCCAGGTATAAATAATTAATAAGCCAAAGTCCAGACATCTGCATGCTCAGTAAATTTGATTTGTTCCTCCCTTCTTATCCCTTTTCCCTGTACTTTTTAAACATTTAACCACAAAACCCAAACACACTAATGTGTATAATCACTCACACATCCTAACACATTTCTGCAAGGGATGGAAATTAGTGAGAACTGTATTCTAAAATGCCCCTGGGGTGGGGACCGGAAGGAATACCTGAGACTCCAGCCAAGCAACACACACTAAGATACCCTGGTAACGTTGTATGTTGTCAATGCACATTATATGTTGTCAACATATGTTTGTTGAATGAATAAATGAATGAATAAATGAATAAACAGAATAAAAACTTAGAGGTGAACTTCAGGACAAATTCTGCTTCATCTTTTTGGGAAGCCTCCCCTAGTTAAAGAACAGGAAAGGTCCAAGGCATCCCTGTTGTCTTTCTTGAAAACAGGAAGTGCTTTGAATAGATTTTAAAATACCATAAAGGAATACAGCAAAGATGTTAGTAGGCAAATGCGAATGCTTTGTATTCAGGCTCAGTGGGTGACACTCTCCAGATTCTGGGATGGATTTTTTCCAACTGCACACAGTTTTAAAGCACAGTTCCTCCAATGTGTGTCTCTGTGTGTGTGTGCTTTTGTTCTACCCTGGCAAAGGAAGTTAAAGCATTCTCTGGTGAGTTTGAGAAAAGGATCCTTTATAAAAGAGAGTTTGGCTGGCAGTAGGTAGCAGTTCAGTCTGCAGGGACCCGCAGCAATGACCGAGCTCTCAGTTTTGAAGCACCTCCTCTCTTTCCAAGTTTCTCTCCCTTGTTTTCTTTTAAGAGCTCTGCCATCACATCTGGGTTCCTAAGGCAGCTCTTACCCTCTCCCACAGGAAAGAAACAGAACCCTCAGAACCAAGCTTGTTAACAGGATGAACTCTGCTTGTCTCTTGCCAGGAGTCTTCTCTGATATTCCTCTTCTCTGATATTCCACCCTTCTAAAAATCTCTTCTTCCTTCTCTGTACCATTGTAAACTCTGCCCAACTTTCTAGGCTCCAACCATTCAAGCCCACTGAGATAATCATGCCTTCTGAATTCCATATATTTTTTTATCTGTGCTACAGACAATCTGATTATTTTATATGAGCTCATTTTACTTCTCAAATAAGTTTTTGAGAACAGGAAACATCTCTTTTATTTCTTTGGATTTCTCTCCGGCAACTCCAGCAAAATCCTTTTTGTTATTAAAAGCATCGAAGCAATTGGCTTTGAGATTTCTGGAAAACTATGACATGGACTGTTGTTTAAAGGTTAATGATAAAAGCCAAAACTGGGACAAAAGGAATAAAATGGAAGAACATGCAAAATACCTCAAAATATCAGCCTGCCCATTAGAACCTTTCCATTAACTTGCTTCTAGAAAATTGTCCTTAATATTATATACACACATATATACACATGAATGTACACATATATACATTTATATAACACATGCATTTTATATATATATGCATATATACATGGGATCCCTGGTAGCCTAGTGTCTTATATGTTGGACTGCTAACCACAAGGTCAGTAGTTCGAATCCACCAAGTGCTCTGCGGGAAAAATATCAGACTTTCTGTTCCCGTAAAGATTTACAACTGTGGAAATTCTGTGCAGGGTTTCTATAAGTCATAATCTACTCCACAGCACACAGGCACCACTACACACACATGCACACATACACACACACATATCACATGGACTCGGCATGGCACTGTTAGACTATATATATATATATATATATATATATATATATACACACACACACATAAATTGTATGAAGGGTACCACATTACTCTCTGAGTATGTACATACACATAGCAAACCAAACCAAACTTAATCTCACCGAGTCAATTTTGACTCATAGTGACCCTATATAGGATTAGTATAAGTTATTGTGGGAACAGACAACCTCATCTTTCTCCTACAGTGACACCAGGGCTCCTTATATGTGTATACACACATATGAGCAAGCTTCTAAAAGTAATTATTATCTTTGAATTCCATTTTTCCATGATTTTTTGAAGCCTCATCATATATATAGATAGGTAGATATGTGTAGATAGATATAGATATGTATAAACATGTAGATATCTATATGTGTGTGTATGGTGGTGGTGGTAATGTGCCGTGGAGTCAGTAACAACTCATAGTGACCCTGTACAGGGTTTCCGAGGCTGTAAATCTTTACAGGAGCAGAAAGCCTCATCTTTCTTCCATGGAACGGCTGGTAGTTTCGAACTGCTGACCTTGCAGTTCACAGCCCAATTCGTAACCATTACACTACCAGAACTCCTTATATGTGTGTATTGTTGTTGTTTAAGTGCCGTCGAGTTGGTTCCGACCCATAACAACCCTGTATAGGGTTTCCAAGGAGCAACTGGTGAGCTTGAACCACCAGCCTTTTAGTTCAACAACTTTGCAGTCTGGCGCATTAACCCACAGCGCCATACCAGGACTCCATATGTGTGTATAGGTACATTCATACGTGTGTGTGTGTGTGTGTGTGTGTGTGTGTGTGTGTGCAAGGATAAGTCAAAAAGTATTGCTACAAAATAATAGAAACCTTTATTAAAGTTTTATTTAAAAAAACAAAATGTCAAGCTTTTGTTTCTTGACATATCCATCCTCTGGTGGTACTGTGGGGTAAGCATTGGACTGCAGTTCAAACCCCCAGCTGCTTTGTGGGAGACTGCCTTGTCTGTGTGCTCCATAAAGATTTATAGTCTTGGAAGCCCTGTATAGTGGCCCCATGAGCCAGAATCCACTCAGTGGCAGTGGGAGTGGGTAGTCCTATACATTTCTGAAGGCAGTGTTTCTATCGTTCTAACCCTTCCCCGAGTCCTGGTGTGGCACTGTGGGTAAATGCACCAGACTGCAAAGCCATTTGAACTGCAAGGTTAGTGATTCACGCTCACCAGCTGCTCCTCTAAAACCCTACACAGGGTCGCTATGGGTCGGCTCTGACTCGATAGCACTTAACAACAACAACCCTTCCTTGAAGAATTCTACACTCTTTGATTTATACCACACCAAAACAGTAGTTTGGGCATCCTCCTGGGACTCAAATCCCATTCCTTTTCAATGTGCTTTGAGTTTGAGGGACAAAAAGAAGTCTGAAGAAGCAAGATCAGGGCTTAGATGGGGTAAGTTTTCCCAACTAAATTCTCAAAGAATAACCCTTACCTCCCTCATAAAATGAGCAGGCACATTTTTGTGATGGAGGAGGGGGAAAATTCCTCAGTGCCCTTTCCTGGACTTTTTCTTACCAATGCAGTTTTTCATTTTCTTAAAGCTTCTGTATAATAAACCCTGTGATTATCCTGTATCTTTCTAAAAAATTTATCATGTTTACCCCTTTGGAATCATCCCCCAAAACAGCCTTCTGAGCTGACTTCTGTGTCTTGAATTTACCTGGCGCAGCAGATCCCCTTGGAGGTCATTGTTTTGACTGAGCCTTTTTTTTTTTTTCAAGCATCCTAATGAGACTAAGACAAGTGTTATTACTTAATTACTTAGAGAACTTGTCTGCAGCCATCTACTGATCACAGACACATGCTTAAATATGCTTTTAACAAAAAAGTTTAAAAATATGCTTTAACAAAAAAATTCATGCATGTATGAAGTGCAACCATAGTAGGTTGGGACTTAACCTGGTATGTGGCAGATTGGATTTGTGGCCCCTTACATCTGAATTTTGACTTATCGTGACTGTAGGTTTGAATTTAAACCTAGAAATGGCTCTAAGCCTTAACTCTGTGGTCCCAACACATACTAAATTTACTGTTAGCTGTTGTTGTTGTTGTTGTTGTTAAGTGCCATCGAGTCGGGTCCGACCCATAGCGACCCTGTACAGGGTTTCCGAGGGTGTAAATCTTTACGGGAGTAGAAAGCCTCATCTTTCTCCCGCGGAGCGGCTGGTAGTTTCGAACCACTGACCTTAAGGTTCGCAGCCCGATTCGTAACCACTACGCAGCTGTTAGTTGCCATCAAATTGGCTCTGCACAATAGAACGAGACACTGCTGGATTGGGTACCATTCTCACAGTTGTTGTCATGTTTGAGCTCATTGCTATAGCCACTGTGTCAGTCCATCTCATTGTGGGTCTTCTTGTTCACTGAACCTGCACTGTATCAAGCATGGTATCTTTTCCCATGGATTGGTTCTTCCTAAGTTTACCACAAGACCTTTTTGCACTTGATGAAAAAAATATATTTGTTTGACCTTCCCTGTTAATGAGAGAACAGGAACAAGATATACATGTGTTTTGTTTTGTTTTTCCTAGGGAGATGTGCATTCAACAGGATGGACGAATTCATCTCACCGTTGTTTACTTTGGGAAAGAACAAATGAATGAAGTCAAAGGAATTCTTGAAAATACTTCCAAGTGAGTGTGGCATGGAACTGTAATAAGGAGACATGATCGAAGGCTGAAACTTTTGCTTATAGTGTTATAGTGTCTTTAACGCTGTGGGGAAGCTTTGAGATTGATGGTTGCTGGACACGTGTGGGTCCCCTCCTTTCCCAGGAGACCAGGCGCCTGGCACTGTGCAGTGGTGTTGACTTGGACAGTGAGATAAACTGCCCTGAGCAGCCAGGGTGGGGAGTGTGGGCTGCTTTGGGCTTCTACATGACTGGACACAGTCACTTTCAGCACCACAGATTTGGGCATTTGACGTTGCAGAATGGGAATTAGGAAGAGCACAGATGTGTAATGAATTCTGTCTCAGTCACAGCTTGTAAGGCTAAGAGTGATATCCATGCTTGCATCTTAAACACTTAGCACGTGGTTTCACCATTTGGATTTTCATTCATTATGCATTTTGAGAGATTATGAGAGAAGCCAGGAGTGATAGCTGGGGCAGGATCCTTGATTAAACCTACTCAGCTGAACAGAAATGATTTAAGCAAAACTTTACGACCTAGGTTTGTATATGTATACCTAGTTGATCAGTTGCATACATAGAGGAATAACAGTACCCAAAAGAAACATAGATAAATTTTTTTTAGCTCCCCTCCCCCAAATAAACACTAAAAATCCTGATGGCACTTTCTACCAGTGAGGAAGCCAGGTAATATTGCCACACTTCCCTCAGGTTTGCCACTCAGGTTTTCAGGTCTCCAGTTGAAGAATCAGGTGTTTCTATCACAAGTTAATAGTACACTGTAGTAGAATATGATGAATCAGTCCCTATGGTTCAAATATCAACAGAGTCCTATGTTTTGAGTGTTTGCTCAATGGTAAGATGACGACAGTCAATAGAACAATAAGATGCTAAGATGGAATGTACTTTTTGTATTTATTTTCATTCTTTGGTACTAACCTTGGGCACAAGATCAGACACTAATTATAATTACTCAAGCCTTCAGAAGCTGGAGTTGGCCAATTACAACCTGCTGGCCCAATTTTGTCACCTGTTTTGTCAATAATGTTTTATTGGAACACAACCACACCCATTTGCTCACATACTCTTGATGCTTCTTTGACCCTACTACTGCAGAGCTGAGTAGCTGTGACTCACAGAACATCAACCAGTGACTATCTGGTACTTTCAAAAAAAAAAAATCTTTTTTGCTGACCCCTATTCTAAAGCAATAAGGAATTAACAGTTTAAAAGTGGTAGCAACCTAAGGCTATGGTCCTAGCCTAAGGGAGATGAAATAGAATGAAATAATGTAATATTTTAAAGGTAAATGAAATCAAAATCCCTCTACCCCAGTGCATTAAAGACTCTTTTTCATCTCTGCTTAGGATTGACAAGCAGGTATTATTAGAATTCGTGTGTTCTGCCTAGTAGGAAACTTTCAGCATCTCTGGACATATCCATCCCTGGGCACATTTTCTTTAAAAAGTTTCCCGGATGTTTCAGACATGCAGCCAAGACTGAACTTTTTTTTTTTTTTTACGATGATGATCCAATTCAGGAGTTGCCCTGAGAGGCCTGATTGCATCCAGCAGCCCCATTCCTAAGTCTTTTACAGTAACTATCCAGGTGACTCTGGTAGCGTAGTGGTTACGAATTGGGCTGCGAACCACAAGGTCAGCAGTTCAAAACTACCAGCTGTTCTGCGGGAGAAAGATGAGGCTTTCTGCTCCCATAAAGATTTATAGCCTTGGAAACCCTGTACGGGGTCGCTGTGAGTCGGAACCAACTCCATGGCATACAACAATCCAGGTGACTCTAAGGAGCCCTGGTGGTGTAGTGGGTTCCATGGAGGGCTGTTAATCACAAGGAAAGCAGTTAGAATGCACCAGTCAACACACAGGAGAAAGGTGAGGCTTGCTGTTCCAATAAAGATTTATAGCCTTGGAAACCCTATACTGGGTCACTGAGATTTGGAATGGACTCCATGGCACACACACCCCTCACCACCACCATCCAGATGATTCTAGAATGCAGCTGGGAGTGAGAACCTCTGTCCTATCGATTATAGCATGGGACCGTCCCAGTACATCAAATCTATTTGCTAATAGACACATATAACCAAACTGACATGAGTCTGGTTAATACGTGGAAGGCTATGTTAGACACTGCAGTGCGAAATACCCTTTGGTAGTCACTAGCTTGCCTAAGTATTCTTATGAAGGCACTCTTCATGTTATCAAATTACAAGGCCAGCTGAATTCTCCATCAGAATTCAGAAGGTTGCTTGGTGAGCAAAAAATACATAGAATCTGAACCAGAAAAGTAAAACCGTTTGCTTGAAATTTTTAAAAACTTCCAGAGAGTTACCTGCCCCCACAGAGAATGTGGTTCTATTGTTTTAAAGTAGCGCTTCATTAACTTTGGCGAAATGAATTTGAAACCCATTTTTCTGAGTGGATTGCTCAGTGTTTTTGTAGTATTTTTGTCACTGATGCATTGGAATGCACCGGCCTGCTCCTGTGGGCTTGCTTTGCCCAAGCTGCCTCTTGCAGTCGGCCTGTGTTGACTTTATACAGGTGCTCCTCATTCCAGGTGAACCTTCCTAAATCGCCCATTGTCTCAGCCTGGCATCCAAACTGTTTTTTTCTTCTTCTTGTTGTGTGCCATGGAGTTGGTTCCAATTCAGCAATCTTGTATAGGGTTTCCGAGAGTGGCTGGTGGGTACGAACTGGCAACCTTGCGGTTAACAGTCCAGTGCTTATCCTGCAGCTCCACACCAGGGCCCACCTAATGCTTCTGACCTTGTCTTGATGACTTACTGCACCCCAGCCAAACTGTTATTATTCTCGAGGTCATATTGAAATCTCCCTTAGAACAATTTTAAATGATTCAAAATGCAGGCACATCTTCATAAAGAACTGGTACATGCAGCAAAACCATGCTTAGCCCTTTCTCTGAATAAGCATGATGTCACTTAACAACAACAACCAGCACTTGAGGAAGATGATAATGTCATCTTCAGGACAATGTTAAGTGTCCTGTGTGTGTTTATTATATTGTGATTTTAAAGGAGAATGTGTTGGTGATTGGGAGATACATGCTGAAGTCTTTGAGAGGGAAGTGTCAGGATGTCTGCAACTAACTCTCAAATGGTTTAAATGAGAAAATGAAAACAAAGAAGACATGATTGACAGTGAATGTAGACGGAGGGTTGTGTTGTTGCTAAGTGCTGCTGAGTTGGCTTTAACTCATAGTAACCGTGTATAGGGTTTCCAAGGAGTGGCTGGTAGGTTTAAACCACCAACCTTTTGGTTAGCAGTCCAGTGCTGATCCCACAGTGCCACACAAGAAGATATGTGTGTTTACTGTGGTTCCTTAAAACTATTCTGAAGGATTCAAATTTTTCCAAATTAAAAAATTTAGAAAAAAAAAAAATTAAGTTCATACATGAGAATATAATACAGCAATGAAAAGGAAGCAAAGGAGTGCCATGACTGAAAATGATGGTTTAACTGTAAGGATCATCAAAATTTCTCTCCATAAAAGCAACCAGAAAATTGTCAAAAACCATCCGCTTTTCCAGAACTCTGAAAAATAAGGAATCTGGAACATTTATTCATGAGAAATGGCTGAATTTCAGTGGGAATAATGAACTTTGCTGTGTTTCAAATCGTCCTATTCCCACTTTCCTCTCTAGCTTTACAGTTGCTTGAAATTCAATAGCAGCAGGCATGGTGAAAACTAGAATCCTAGATGCCACCACAAGGGCAGAATGGAGTCTCTAGCTGTTAAGTGCCTTTGAATCGGTTCTGACTCATAGTGACCCTACATAGGGTTTCCAAGGCTATGAAAAAGACAGAAGATCATAAATATTACTAAGGTTTGGGAAAACTCAGATCTTCATACACGGCTGCTGCTGATGTAAACTGGTGCGAACCCCTTGGAAAACAGTTTGACAATTGCTCAAAAATTTAAAAATAGAGTTACCAGAAATTTTACTATTTATGTGTATAGATAATGGAATTTCTGGTAACTCTATTTTTATATTTTTTGAGAAATGGACAAACTATTTTCGAAGGGGTTTGCACCAGTTTACATTTTCAGCAGTGGTGTATGAAGATCCTAGTTTTTCCAAACCACCATAATACTTGTGATTTTCTCTCTTATGGATTTTAACCATCTTAGTGTGTGGGTATAACTCAAGTCATAATATTTTCAGTAATCGCATGTGCATGGGAAAGCTGCACAGTGAATAAGGAGGCTCAGAGAAGACTTGATACATTTGAGTTATGGTGTTGGAGAAGAATATTAAAAGTACCATGAACTGCTAGAAGAACAAACGAATCTGTGTTAGAAGAAATAGAACCAGAATGCTCCTTGGAAGCCAGGATGACAAGACTTTGCGTATCATACTTTGGACATATTGTCAGGAGGGACCAGTCTCTAGAGAAGGACATCATGCTAGCTAAAGTGGAGGGACAGCGAAAGAAAGGAGACACCCATGGATTGGCACAGTGGTAGCAGCAATGGGCTCTGGCTTAACAACGGTTGTGAGGATGGTGCAGAACTGGGCAGTGTTTCATTCTGTTGTGCATAAGGGTACTATGAGTCAGAATTGACTCAATGGCACCTAACAACAACAACACACATTTATAAATGAAAAGAAAAACAAAAGAGTTGAATATGCCTCTTGGAGAATTTACTTTGGCTCTCTTCATAGCTAAGCCTATGACAGCTTTAGTAAATGCTCAGAGAGTTCTTTGAGAGTTTAATTAAAAGGGCATACAGCTTTTGATATACAGCTATCTGAGTAAGCATATTAATTACAATAGTCACATACCATAATATGACTTTTTCAAAATTTTTGACCTAGCAAATAGTAGGGCCAGAAAAAAGTATGGTAAAGTATTTTTGCTTTTTTTTTAAAAAAAATAAAGGGCTGTGTGGGAAGTGTTACATTAAAGAGTATTCTTGCAATCATGGGATGAAGTCTGTTTTAGAATAAGTCGTATTATGCAGA